CCGGCAGATGATGGCTCGTCGTCGGATGCTGGTGCGAATTGAAGTACGGATGCGGCCCAGCGGCTGCGTACAGGCCGTAACCAGCGGCACGCGCGAATTCCGCAGCCGCGCGTTCCGCCGCACGGTTCCGCAATATCCGATTGATGCTGCTGACCGACGGCGCTGTCGCGTTACTGCAAACCCCTGGAACAGGTGAATGCCGACGTTGCGGTCAACGCGACGTTCAGTCGCGAAGATACCGCTAACAGATGATAGCACGAATACGACAAAGATCTTGTTGTAGACAGAGTTTTTCATAGCTTCCTCATCGTTATAAGCAACTGTTGACGCTACAGATCTTTAAAGTCAAATTTTTTTATTCACAATCGTAGATTTTATCCAACATAAAACTGGCAGCAAGTGCAAAACTTGCACTTGTTACAACATTTGGAATGTTACTGCAATGGTACTAAAACATTGCAATGTTGCTGCAATATTGCTGCAAGCACATGATATGTTCTGTATAGGGCGCGTTAATATTATCAGTCAGAACTAAAAGTAATGTACGATATTATTACGAAGGAAATAAGATTCTTTATGAAAATACAAAATGCAGGTAATTACAAAATATTACTTCGATTTTGTATTTGTAGCAAATCTCGATAAAACATATCCAACGTATAATATACGAGTATGTCAAGTATACACGTATTTCCGAACTCTTCTAGAGAGAGAAGTATAGACAGTCTTATTTGTATTACTAGTTGTTATGTATAAGATCTATAGTTGCAGCAAAAGGTATATCAAAGTTTACTTATTATAATGATATTCGTGTTAGCACGAATGCTTCAAGAATGTTATGTGTGTCAAGAAGTAAGGTCGCAGAAACGCGTTTCTTAATTCTTTCGTTAAATTATACGTTACTCGTACGTGCGTCTGTAATCATGGACGGTGCATTCGCATGGCTTACAGAGGACGAGCATAATTAAGTAAGGAACACGCTAGTTTATGCATCGCGCTAGCACTTGACGTTATGACTAAGCGTGTTCTAAGAGATATACTGCGAAAAATCTTAATCAATGTTAATGCGAGTCAAGTTGATCAATCTTTTAAACGCTTTCACTTCACAATTATTACGTTATCGTATTCACTCTTTATTCACCGTAAAATAATCGATTTGCAAATTATTATCTCCCTTTTCGCGAATAATTTTTTAATGCGATATGGCTCATACATTTTTTATCTTTTACAGAGGTATTAACTCGTAACTGAAACGTATAAGTCTTAATGACCTTACAACATTTTCCTAATTTTTAAATAGTGGTATAATTTGTGTTTCGAAATCTTATCTTTCACAAATTTATTTTCGTTCACAAAATTGATATTCTAATTATTGTACTATATTTATGCCAAGTACAGATGTTGCAATTTTTTATATACATAGTTGTAAATTAAAAAATCTTTTAAACTAATAACAAAAAACTTTAATGGATCTCAAAGATCCATATGTTTCCTTAACACCACAAAAAATACGCATTCCTGTTAGGAATTAAACATAAATTAATATAAATATTTATAGAGCTATACTAATCAAAAATTGCTTGTTTCAAGTTTCAAGTTTAGTAGTGATGTAAAAATATTAATTTTGTTATGGTGTTATGTTGGACTCCTAAAAACTGTCCTTATCTTGATTTGTGTTATTTTTCGTGATTGAAGGCCAATGTATTTAGAACATAATACGAACATAATCTATTCGCACATAATACGAAATTCGGAAAATTTCGACTGATGTCATCTGTGGGAATGTGACTCGGAAACATATCCTTTCAATAAATCTCGATTTGGCAATGATTATCTTACCTTCGGAGATTAGCCTCTCCCGGATTTCCCAAGCAAAGATAGTCGGATTCTCCCTTTTATATTGTTCGATCTTAGCGACGACAGCCGGTGTCGCTACTTTCGGCTTACTGCCACCGATCAGACCCGGTGGACGCAACGTACCTGAAACACGATAAAATGGGCTTCAAGGACACGGTGCATTGGCAAAACTCCTGGCCCTCGATAAAATCGCTCGTAAATGGCGCCGCGGCATGGCACATTTATATTTTGCGCCCTATTCGGCAGCTCGGCCATGCCAAAACTCGCGAAGCTCGCCGTAATTCCCGAAAATCACGCGATGCACGCGCCTTGGAATCCGAATGTATCTTTCACAGGCGTGATTGATGTGAAAAGAGTGATAATTGTAACATTATACATTATAATTGAACTGCATATTAAATGTAATTTGTTCCATTCACGTAAACATTCGATCGCCTTAAATATTGTTCCATACAAGATGCATTAGTTGAAACGTTTTATGCCCGTTTTTACCACAACGTAAATTAACTTCGGTCCCGGTTTAACTTAATCTTTTTCTAATCCTAAAATTAGAAAAACATAAAGAAAAATAAATTGAACTGAGATTATTAAAATGAATCATACATTAGCGGAATCGAGTATTAGTCTTTTAAGATATAAACAACTTTGTAATGTGTATAAAGAACATAAAAAAGAAAGAAAATATAAATGACAGCATATAATAATGCAAAAGTCACGGCAATCATCGCAATATAATGCTTAGCATCGCGTGCTACCGGCAAATGGATATTAATCTTATCTTCGTATATCTGGGTGGATTCATAATGCGGCAATTAAGACAGGATGCTTACATAATATATATCGTGATATAAGAAAATTATCTGCACACGTGTAGCCACTGCGCGTTAGCTTGTGATAATTTTTAGTGTTATTATCGCGCGCTTAAGAGTTAAATTGCATGCTTAGAGCAATTAATGTAAGTCTAGTGCCTTTTATAAAAATTAGACCCGCTCTCCCTTTCTCCCTCTCTCTCTCTCTCTCTCTCTCTCTCTCTCTCTCTCTCTCTCTCTTCCCTCTCGCTCCTCTCTTTTAAACTTATGGGGATATTTATTTTAAATAAAACGTTAAAATATCGGTCACAGATAAAAATACATGTCTTTTAAGTCAACCGTTTGGATCCACCGCTGTCATATATTCCATAGAAACCGAAGTTATAATTTGCTACTCGTGGGAAAGACAATGAGCAACGCAGCAGTCAATTAGTCATGAATTAATTAGTATCTACAAGTGAATGCTAAGACGCGCATAGCTCCATAAGCATATATATTATAAGTACGAAAAGGTTATACATATCATCGATTGCATGTTGTTGATACCGTAAAAGACGTACAAATGATACATTCTAACGCGAATCAAATTTTAATCAATTATATATTATATAATACATAAAATTTTATAACATATTATAAAACGTTTCGTACGAAAAATGGATCGTTTTAGAAGTAAATTTTATCATTATTGAATATATATATATATATATATATTAACTAAAATAATTTATCATTGTTATTGTGTATATCGATGTATGATAAAAAATAAGATCGAATCAGACTTATTATATATAAAGAGGAATATTGTAAATTGAAGAATAATTTAATATCAAATAATATAATAGAGGATAAACGAACACGTAATATCGGTTAATTATGTATGAAAACTTTATGAGGATTGATACGATACGTCGCAATCAGAAAGAAAATTAATTTTTATTGAAGTATCTAAAAATTTAACTACAGAGATACAAATCTATAAACAATCTTATTAGACCATGAAAATAATTATGTAAAACGCTTAAACGTTGATAACAATCCTACAAAAAGTTTAAGCATTCTGCATAATTATTTTGATCATCCAACAAAATTATTTTTAGATCTGTATCTATTATAGCTACATTGTTTATAGATACTTTAGCAAAATCGTTCGTACGCATTATATTAGAAAATTCCTCTTTTTTTTGGTCAATGTTACGCTGTTACTAATAATATGTATTCAAAGTTGTATACGTTGCGCTTAAGATATACCGCGTATCCGCTGTTTTTGCCCCGTTTCTCGCGAGCGACACGATAGAAGCGAAGAAACGAAAGTCACGCTCGCGTGCTAATATCAACGTCAACCATCGGGCGTAAAGGGTCCCATCGAGACTCGCCTCCCGACCCCAATTACGCGCGGATTCATCGTGGAAGGACGTGGACGTTGTTCGTACTTGCATGCATGCATCATCCGTCATTCGCGTTCTGTCGCGGACTTTGCCGAAGACCAGACTCAGAGTCTTGAGAAGCGGAAGGGACGGGACGGGACGGGACGGGACGGGGGAGGTATCCGTCAATCCGGTGGACGATGCCGGGAAGATTGTGAGGTAATGGAAACCAGAGGCGCAGGCAGACTTGAGCAATTATCGGTCGTTACGTACTATTATTAATAACAATAATGACGGCTAAACCCGGCAGAGGGTATCGCGTGCGCTCCCACGGATGAAGTGCGTGCCGGGTATATAAACGATGTATCCACCTAATAGGTATCCATGCCGCGAGCAAATTCCTTGCCTCTCGACCTGCTATCCCATCTTTCTCTCTCTTTCTCCCCGTTCCCGTTTCTTCCTCTCTTTGTCCTTTTTAGCTTCTCTCTGTCTTTCCGTCCCTGTATCTATCTTTCCCTGCTTCGATCCCACCGCTCGATCTCTTCCCACCCTGCGTTGCCTTTAGTTTTTCGTTGTTGCAGGTTGCTCGTTCGGCTTGCTCCTTCGATTTGCGGATTTGCGGATTTGCTCCTGTGCACGTGTGTGCGTGCGTGCGTGTGTACGTAACATTTTTGAGCGGAGAGTGCCGTTTTTAATAAAAGAAACCGCACGAAGCCAATTTCGTTAGCCGGTTAGGGTTACTCGCGAGCACATCAGTGGATGGATGTCAGCCCGAGAAGGCTGTATTCAAGAAGGCGCGGCGCGTCGCATGCGTGCATTCGCGGGCGAGGTGATCTCTTTTATGAATTGATAATGAGAGATTAGGGTAATTACACGGCGAACCTGTATGTAAGAGCGTCGCGATGGAAACTACGAACAAACAACCGGAACGCCTCCGGCATTGTCCATTCGATTGCTGTCCAGTTATCCTAACGACCGCAGTAGTGACGTGTTAAGCTTATACAGCACGTCTGAAATTTTGGCCATTTATCCCATGTACTCTCTCAATCCGTCTTTGAATCAACCCTCTGTAATCGATATAGCGAGCAGTTAAAGCCGCAACCTCTGAAGACACGAAAATCGATATAATCGAATGGTATTTTTAGTTCATGAATATGAATAAACGAGATATCGCGATGTAATTCGTATCTGTTCTTGGCGATTATAGGCGTAATAAGGACCACGGCATACTTAAAAAAACTTAAGCAGTAAGACGTAAGCAGTGAGAAAATCAACATGTTGGATATACTATTGTTTATGGTTTTACATTCTCAATTGTAATTGGGGCCGATTCGTTTAGTATTTAAGTTTTTTTTTGCATACTATGGCCTTAAGACTACGCATTCCTATAATATGGAGCTGTCACTATCGGTTTAGAACGTAGACTTTAGAAGAATAGAAATGCATTCCCTGATTTTTAGCATTTGCAGTACTCCGTCAGAAAGTATATCAACATTTCTCTTCAACTCGATATTTTAGAGTAGACAGAGAGAAAGAGAGAGAGAGAGAGCAATATGATTCAAGCTACCTCACTCTTTTTAAATTAATAACAACTTAATAATATAGCAGTCTGTTATTATATCTATTGTTTAGAAAGAATAAGCTTGAATATTCTCTCTCTCTCTTTCTTTCAGGTATCAAAGTATTAAAGAGAAATACTGATATGGTTCAATTCTTTCTAACGGAGCACATATCTTAAAATTGGAGAATGTGCAATCTACACCTATTACATTTATACATTTATACATTTATGTTGGTGGTGAAATGACCAGTTATATCGCGTAACGCCACTTGTCCCCGTCTCGACTTGCGTATCAATGCAGAGCGGGCTACTCGCTCATGTCGAGGGGATTAATTGTTCATCGTCGTTAAGTAATTGGTCGGCCGATTATGGTACATTATATTCACCTCGGACGCCTAAGGAGTCCGTATCCAGCGAGATGAAGACATTACCGGCGCGCCGCGAGAGAGCAGGCCACGAACGGTATTTTTACGAGCGGCTCGTAAAGTTAACGAGGACCGCGAGGTAGGTAGGCAGGTCTACGAGAAAGAGAGAAACTCCGGCGTTCCACGGCGAGATGCTCGGTGGCTCTTCTCCATTTTTTATTGTTTACCTCGGCGCGCGATCCTTCTTCCTCCGCTTCCCTTCTCCTCCATGCCTTTTCTTCTTCTTAGCTTCCTCGTCTTTCTGCATGGTCTTTCCTCGAATACGATCCGGGCTTCCGTCCACTTGGGTACCCAACAATTCCCGATCTCGTTTAGAGTCTAAATTTCCGCGAGTTTCATCGCGTTCTCGCGTGCAAAACCGCACTTGCGTACTCATCTCGAAAGCACCTCGATCTGCATTAACTCGTCAAACATGACGGTATAAGGTACGAACAGCAACACGAATAGGAGAACGCAAATGCCGGAAAGCTCAGGGTGTGGTTTCTTAAGTGTTTAGCCTTGAGATATATATTTTTATATTTATTTATGTTGTAAACGACATAAATCTTTATTGATTATAAAGAAAATGGCATGGGAAAATTTTTATTGAAGCTAATGTAATTTGACAGCCAGATAAAATAGATATGGTACGATATATATTATACTACGGCAAATTCATAAAATTTCAAATTTAATTTTACTAAATGAAAGAGCAGCGAGAATCGAAACTTCGCATTAGTCTCTTGGAATGTAGAGAGGCTAATGACTGGTGCAATCATTGGTGAATTATTCAAGTTTGTTGTGCCGAGGTGCTGAAATTTAATGCGTGAAAAAAGTGGTTATTACGTGTTAATTCTGGCGAGCTAACGAGCTTCGAGTGGCTGATACGTTCTTCATGACGCTCGTTATGTTTGACCATGCTTCGTAAGTTTGACGCTATCCCCTGTTCACTGCCTTGCTTGGAATCGTTCGAAACGTTAACGCGGTATCGTTTGTGGTCGCCGGTAATTGCCGCGTGAATCACAGAGAAAGGTACAATCAAGAATTATGTAAATTTCAAATTAAAAAAAGAGGCACGGAAAGAAAGGGAGAGAGAGAAGGGGGGAGAGAGGAGAAAGAGAATCTAAGAAAAAATACACAATCCAAGAAAATACAAAAAAAAGTTATTTACTCTTTATTCTTTTAAAAAATAGAGGGAAAAGAAAGCTTCCATTTAGATGGGAAAATATTATGTTAGTGTTTCTCTCTCTCTCTCTCTCTCTCTCTCTCTCTCTCTCTCACGAATAGGAATTATTTTAAAACTTTATTTGACAAATATGACAAAAACCTTTTATATCAGTCTATCTAATAGTTCTCGACTTTGGAAAATCTTCTCTTGTGCATCTCCAATATCTATTTTTCTCTCATTTCCGGAGGATCGATGATATTCTTAGAACATAGAATATAAATGGATGATTTCTGCCTTGACTTCGTATCGAAATTACGTACGTACGTAATGCGTGCGTGGCGCTCGATATTCGCGATAGGTATAGTGGTTGACGAACATAATAGCGATATGTCAACGGAGTAGTTTCCCTACGTAAGTTCTCGTGTTCGGAATGTCACCCAATAATTTGCATATTCTTATCGTCAACGATAAGAAAAAAACAACGTGGGGTATAATATCGAGCGTATCATGAACGCGATTCTCCTCGCGTAAGGCAACTCGCGGTAAATCATAAAAATACACTTTACAAACCTAAAAGTTTCGTAACGACTGCGCCCTGTTGGTTTAATGACAACACGTGGTTGGCGAGATCGTTGTAATGCCTGAGTGCTCCTAATCCATGTGACAATTCGATTAGACGTTGCCGCGATGCGTTGCCATTGTTACCACTGGCGAAAGGACCGGCCGTACAATTTTGTAAATTCACACCTGCAATCAGAGAAATATTTCATTGTAATACGTATAATAATGAAATTATCATATCGAACAACTAATGATAATTGCTAGGACGAAATCTGTTTCGATTACATTTTATTATCACATCTTCGTTCTTGACTTTGGATTATTTCCGTAAACTAGTTAACAAGATTCGAAAGATTGATGATTTTTACAGGTCTGAAATAATCGGGGATCTACTTTTCTCACAAAGATCCTTTTTAGGATCCCCAAAATTAATTGAATGCTTCGTTAAATTAACAATCGGCTGCGTAATCGCTGTGACGAAAGTGGTCACGGTCAAATAACTTGACGTTGAGGCACTTTAATTTGAGTTGCTGAACGTGATCTCGCGATCCTCTTACTGATATGGTTTTAAAGAATGTTAAAAGCGCAGTCAAGAAATACCTGTCATTCAAATTATGATTAATAATTAACTTATATTCATATTCGCATATAGATATTACTTCGCGCACAGCATTTATATTCTTTTCAATAATATATTACCATATTACAAGAACTTTGATTTCAGGTGTTTATCAATGTTATTTCAATTTTCAATGATTATCTTTGCTTTTAAATTAACATGCTAATCAACTCGCTAAGTTTCCCCGAATGAAGTCTCACTTTGAATGAAAGTACCACCACTACTGAAAAAAATAAAAATATTTACACTCTTGAATAAGTTTCACTCTTTTGAGATAATTTTATGTTTCATAATCTTATTTTTCATAGTTTTGTTTTATTTATATAACCTAATTATCGTACTATATTTATATTAAATTCAAGTGTTGCAATTTTCTATATGATTGAACTTTTATATGATTTAAAACTTCTAAAACTAATAACAAAAAATTATAATAAGCCCATACATTCTTTTAACGTTACAAAAAATATTTTCCTCTTTTTCTATTACGAGTTAAATAATCATAATTTGTACACGATCTGCACAACTTCTGATTATTGATATAACTTGATCTGAAAACCACCGGAAGTTTCATTTAGATTTTTTTTCTTAAGTGAAAATGCAGCGATAGCATTTTTAAATGGTAATAAGCCAAAAAGACTAAAGTGATATGAAGAAAGCGAAGGATATGCTAAGTGGAAAATTGACTCGTATAGGAAATAATATTCAAGGAGAGAAAACGTAATTACACAGCATAGCCAATAAAATCGCGACAAGGCGAAACGAGGGTTCAAGCGTAAATCGACGCGAGCTTAAAGATAATATGAATTAAATGTGAGATAGATGTTAATTACTGTACCGGCAATGTCTGCGATCAAAATTATGATGTGCTTATTATAGGTTCAGCTTCCTCGTAATCGCGCTGTCGACTAATCTTAACAACGTTTAGTGCGGAGAGTCGCCCAGATGCCAATTTACGATCGAACGATATATGGCAATATAAAGAGCGTGTAATACCTGTCATTTTATAAACGAGGAGCGCAATAGCTTTTTATCCAGTCGATCTTACATAAGGAGTCCGGCGATCGCGGGAGGAGACCGTTGGGTGAAATTAAATTCTGAGTGTTGGTAGAAAACAGGTCCGTCGTGCTCATTTGTATCGCGTTGTTTTAATTGGTTTCAACGAGTGAACTCAGCGTGAATTCGCGGCAGTTCGTTTACATAGTGAGAACGTCTAATTAATTAGTCCTTTATGAGTTAAGTGTATTACCAATCAGCTCGGTAAATGGATCTTGCGCAGATCATTTGCAATTTGTTATTCACGTAATCGAACGGTCACTTTTGCACAATTTATGACGATAATATAGTTAATTATTATAATGGCTCCTCATCAGGAATACAGTTAATCAGTATTTAAATTAACTGTAATCTGGAGAAGGGAAATTGACGCGATATTTTTTGGACGAATTTATTATAACATTGTGATGTCATGTGACTCCGTATATTGTATACGAGAACGATGGACTCGTAACAGAGACCGGTCGCAAGTTTAAATCCCGCATCTCGTGTACATAGAAAAATTTCGTAATCCGTACTGACTTAGCAAGAGTCGCAGAGAAACTTTTTACATCCAGAGTGACTGCTTTGATTTAGGTTCAGAATATCCCATACACTGATATGGTCTTATCCAACTATATATTTTCAGATCTGTATCTAAGTTTACAAACGCACTTCAGCAAAACATCATTCTTTTTGTGTACTTTACATTGATAAGCGTTAGATGTAGTAAATACATATTTTACATATTCTTCACATTTTTATTATCCTTTTAGTCTTTTTGATTTATTACCATTAAAAAATATTGTTACTACATTTTTATTAACAAAAAAATCCAAGTAAAATATTCGATAGTAAGATCGTATTAATGATGATAAATTTCGCAAATTGTGCGTATAAGTCACGATTATTTAATTAAAGAGAAAAAAACATGTGAATTACACTCGTAAAACTCCTGGAGAATTTTTGTTACAAAAATTGAAGTGCTACTAAAGTTATTTTCCGAGGAATCTCGTTTGCAGTGGTTGCTCGAAACGTCGAATAAAACTTATGCGAATCCCGCGAGTCTCGCGCCTATTCCATCCACTTCGAATGGCACATCGGGCGCGCATTCCGCGCTCGTTTCGTGTCAAAGCGATCGGAGGTGTCGTGAAAACGAAAGTAGCCGATGCACAGAAAGAAATGCGTCCCATCGTTGCATCGACACCAAGCGGGAACCGGTTCTGAACGAGTTCTGGCATCAGGCCTCACGGTATATTCATCCGTACATTCGAAATCGCCGCCAGTAAAGACTGATCGCTTGACACGGCAGTAATAGATAATAGAGAGAAAAACTGGAAGGCCGCGCGATTCTCTTTCTGCAGACTCGGCGACTTCGTGAGATCGTTCACTCTACTGCGCTTCCAATGAGTGGTTTTATCTGGACTGAGTGCAGATGGCTTCAAGTAAAATCGCGTCGCGTTACGAGTGTTTGCTGACGGTACACGAATCAAGTTAACTCTTAAATATAGACCATTCGTTTGCAACACACACACACACACACGCAAAAGATAAAACACAACAGAACACACTTAAATTATTTAAAAGAATGTTCAAAGGAAAATGAATGCATGCAGATGTGAAGTTCATATCATATCTGTAATATGTGTATAGTGGAAAGAAAATTAATCGAATATAGAGTCTAAGATGATACAATGGCATAACTTAAACTATGTTTATATATAGTCTGAGTCTTATAAAAATTTTAATCAAGTAGAAATAAAATCTTGCAGGTAAAAGAGCGCGAATTAATTTATGAATTTTTTTACACGCGACTTAAACACAAAGATAGTTGCGTTTACATTCGAGGACAACGTCTCGCAAAAAAGTAATCTTATATTATCAGGCTATAATTTCTACAGAAATCGTGTTAAAAGTAAATTGTACATGTAATCGATAATTGATACACGGGCAAGCATTTTACGTAATAATTCTCTGATTAATTAAATCCGTTTGATTAAGTCCGTGACGAGATGTTACCCAAAAAAGAATTGAGGACGAATTTAATGACATTTTAAATTTTATTTAACAAATGAAGATGTCCATACTTTTTGGTGCAAATAATATATATTATATGATAGAACATAATTATAAAATCTCAAAATAAAACTATATACGTTATACGTTATACGTATTTGATATCATATTTATAGCATTGAATGTGCGATTAGAAAAGCCATCTATCATTTTTATCTTCTTACTGATAGATTAATTTGTTATTATGATTAGAAATGATTAGCGGATTATTACGATTTAGATAGATGTAAAAAGTATAGTTTAACATAAAGTTCACACGGAAAGAACGATTTTGCTGATGTTCTTACGGGCAAAATCGCGCATAGTAGGCAGTGCTCGGACCGTGTCAACATTGTCCAACGCGATTGGGTTAGACAATATTGACACGATCCGGGCAATGCTGACACTATACAGCAAGCAACTTTCCCATAACATAATCTATAAATTTAGATGGATACAAGTCTGAAAATAATTTTGTTAGACTATTAAAATAATTACATAAGAAGTATCTTATTATCCCCAGTGCCATAAAGTGGGTGTTATTTATGATTTACTAGACTAGTTTAGTTAAATTTTTATAGATACTTAAACAAAGTTAGTGTCAAAGAATGAATACTGCGAAAAAGAAAATTACAATTCTTGGCGAAATTGTAACCTGGTTAGCAATAACTGGTAATATACTCTACGCATAATTAGTGCATATATCTTCGCGGATACTTTCGACGATTGGTCGTCAAAGCTGTAACAAAGTCTTGCGCGAAGACAACTATTAGCCGCAAGGTGTACCTGTTTTAAAATACTCTGGGTACGGTCGTAAAATCCCATGGCATCGTCTGCTGTCAAGTATCGAGCTGAACATCGGGAACATTCGTGAACTTGTATCGGATCTTAAGCTAGATTAACGCTTTTCGCACACAAACCAAGCAAGAGCTTTATCTACCACGTCAAACTATCGGATTTATTCGTAACTTTTAATTCACACAAACAATATTATCAAATCGCAATTTCAAAGAATCAATTTAGATATAATTCGGCATTTAAACAAATTATATTCACTCAAGTATATAATAAGAATTGAATGCGCGGAAAGAATAGCTTTGCTGAAGTATTTATAAATTTATTCATTATCTCAACTAGAATTCTGGTAGATTTAATCAGAAAATACTGATTCGTCCATTTTTTCCACTAGAATTACAATTCCATCAAACCATTTTACTCACTAAATTTAATTTTAATCATAGACGTAATAGAAAAAATTGCACATTGGCTAATCTTATAACATCTGTGTTTCATTAGAAAGAATTGAATCATATTAGCTTTCCAATTCTATCAGCATCTCTTAACTCAATATTTTAGAGATAGAAAGCGATATGATTTAAGCTACTTCACACTTTCTAAATAGTGACAACTTTATAATAATCCACAGTCTCTTCTTATCACATCCATGATTTTGATATGAATGTTACATTGTCGGAAAAGAATGTTACTCTTTCAATGCAATCATCGGATACGACTTCGTTATTTATGTATTAGTATATCTTTCATACGATGGTTCATATGGCCAAGTGCCATAATGTGCTACCAGAACACCTGAAACACATTTTCTTTTGTCCTTTTTTGTTCTTTTTCCCTTCCTTTCTGCTCGCTCGTGAACGAAGACGTTGCGTACATGGTATCTGCCTCGAAACGATCTGGGTGTGGTCGTAAAATCTCGTGGTTCTGGAACGAAGTGCTCCGCAAACGCGAGAGTACCCGCGGGATGGACGGGTATTGAGCGTTAAACGAGAGTAATACGTTCACCGATCCGAAGAGAAGTACTCGCGTTGCCAACGCATTGAAACCGGTTCCGAATGAGTGCGATACTTGGTAGCCCCCGTGCTCCGTCTGGCAAGTGCAAATCGCGGAAAGATCCGCGAACGCGCGGTAGTTGAACATGTCGTCGTAGGCGCATATCCAACTGCTCTCAATCGAGCGTGTCCTTTTATTCTTTTATCAACGGTTTTACGAGGCAAACAACCAAGGAGCATTTCACGCTGCATCAGACAGCATCGTAGAGAGCGAGTAAAGAGTTCGCCACATTGCATTCGTGTGTTAAATAATATCATAAGCCGAGTCTGTTGTACACAATCATGGGGTTTTGCTCCTCGTTTTTTGACAACTTAATTAGCGGCCGAAAAGAGGCGGCGGCAATCATTGATAATGAACTGCATGTAAGCATCCGCAGAACGCGTCGCGTTTCTTTAAAGTATTTTACGTAGAAAAACTTTGATGTTTCCTGATTATATTTGAGTATTATGTTTTTTTTAATATTTGTTAAAAATTTAGCTAGATGTAGATCTAAAAATAATTTTGTTTGTGAACCATCAAAATTATAACTATGTAAGATATTAAAGTTGACTGCTAGAATGTTAAAACTTTTTGCAGTATATTAGCATATTAACACTTAAACTTTCCATACAATTATTTCAATGGTTCAATAATGTTATTTTTAGATCTATATCTAGATAAATTTTTTATTACTTTAGCAAAATATTCTTTTTGTGTAGACATTTTTGAAATTATTTAAAATTTTATAAACTGGTTTATTTGACATACAATAGTTTATATGGCGATTAAAATCGTGACAATTCTGAATCTCTGAAACAGAAATTATTTCGTATATGTGGATACTGTTCGGATTTACTCTTCTATTTTTACGATTCACACAAGTTGAATATTATATTTCAAAATTACGATCAAGATTTCGTAATCCTTCCGAGATTTTTTTAAAGGCGAGAAATGCTTCCATTAACGTTAATTACGAGACAAGTCTTGTACAGGTGTTCGCCTGTACAGGTGTTCAATGTTAATTGCAGCTACCATCTCGCATCGAAAGGTTCGTGCGGTGAAAGATCGTGAAACGATTCATAATTTAATTAGTTACTTGGTTATCTATCATCAAACAAGATATAATCGATATACTCATTTATCGTCATGTGTATCACATATTTAACTTCTGCGTTATCGGGAACATAAATGATTAAATTGTACGTTACTGTTATTATATTTGTAAATTATATGTTTATTAGTTGTTCCATATAACTGGACTGTATTAATAACATACGTATTATATAAAATGTATGCATATTATACAAAACAAAATACAGGTAATCAGAAGATTATCTTTTCATCGTTTAATTTTTTATAACATTTCTCGAAATGGTCAAAATTTATTTCAAAAACATACGATATCGTCTCTATAGCGTCAAAGAAATTTAATAAAATCGATAATAAAAGAATTTTCCAAGAAAAATTATTTTATTATTACAAGTTTTATAAAATTCCCACGTTTTTTGTACTGCCTCGTTATTTCATTTCATTAATTAATATTGTCTTTAATAATTGCCAAAGTATATTCAGATGTTTCGGATATTCGATCTTTCCCTTAAATAACTATTTCAAATTTTAATAACGCCGGATTGTACAATTTTGGTATAATGAAACACAATTGTAAATAATGGTACATGAGGTATTTCGTAATTATCGATTTATCATGACGTAACGAAATTAATTAGGCCTCCATTGCTTACACATGTATACACATCTGTCTTATCTCAGATATCCAAGAAAGAAAGAGGAATGTAATCGGGATGTATACAAAAATATTATTATAACAGAACGCAGAAGCACTTGCATGTCGTTTTTGGTGAGAATTAAAACTTGTTACAACGCATATAAAAAATGAACATTTAATTGCAACAGATTTGAATGGAAATAGCATCATTAAGATCTTTCTAAGATGCCTATGTAAGCATCAAATTATTAATGTTGGTCAATTTAATTTGTGATATTACTACACAGTTCAATCGAACTGTGTTTCAAGATCGAAAAAATCAATTTGGCGCGCAGTTTAAATAACTACACATATGTAAGTTATACCTATAATATAAATTCACATCATCTCTCTCTCTCGAATTATCTAAGTGCCTAAGGTCCAGCTTAACTGTTAAAGGCTTTATTCTTTACTTGTTGTGTAATCACATTTACAGTCTTAAGAAATTCTTTAATGTTCTTCAACGTAAATATTTATCTTCTCATGATTCATGTTGAACGTTCCACGTGAATCAATTATTATAATAAGTTTAGTATACCCGAAAATCTCGTTTATACATGAAAAGAACGATTTTGCTAAAAGATCTAAAATTTGCTGATAGATATAGATCTGAAAATAATTTCGTTGGATTATCGAAGTAATTTTATTGAAAATTTAAACTGGTTGCTAGAAATAAAATTTTTTTGCAGCATTGCTCATCATTTTTTAATTTTTAACATAATTATTTTAATGATCCAACGCTATTATTTTTAAATCTGTATCCAGCAAAATTTTAGATCTTTCAACAAAATCGTTCTTTTCATGTAACTTTAAACAATTATTGCAATAACATTTGTATATAGAGACTGTGGTTGTTTTAAATTAAACAATGATTTATTTGGTACCTGTTATATTATTATAATAGAGAGCTACCGTGTGAAAGGGAAACAACGAGAAAAAGGCGTGGGAACTAAATGAACGTTAAATCGAATTCGACGAGAATAATCGGATTCGATTCGACTTAAAGACGCGAATATCTTCGCATTCCTACTCACCATCGATCAGGGAAGCAGGTACATTCAACTGCTGGTGATGATGCGCCGGCGGATGCTGCTGGTGATGGTGCGGCGGATGTACCTGCAGCAGGTGCGATCTCGTCTGGGAGAAGGTCGGCGACGGTGGTTCCCAAGGTCGGGCAACACCAGTGCTGGCGGGAACGTCCTCGTCCTGACAGCAGAACTTGTCACTTGCGCTCGAGGCGGTCGTACCGGTGCAATTCGCGACTCCGTGTCCGTCATTATTGTTGCTAATCTCCCCGTTATTATTGTTGTTGTTGTTGTTGTTGTTATTATTGGTACCGCTACTGCTATTGTTTGTGAGGCGCGTGGTAATTGCACCCGTTGCTGGGCTACCACTACCACTAGCACTGCCACTGACACTACCACTGCCAATGCCGTCGACCTGTACCATTTCGCTGTCGATCGCAGCCGCCGACTTGGCAGTACCAGGAGGGGTCGCGACGCCGCCACCGATCATCATCACCAGACGATCTCACCTCCGCCCCCTCCACGCTCAGCAACGGCTCCTCCCTCTCCCGTTCTTCCTCCACTTCTGCGAATGCACCACGTCTGTCTTTCAATCGCTTCCGTTTCTCGCATTCAACGGATTTTTTCTACGCGTTAATCGCGATTCTCAGAATATTGACAAGTATCTCCAGGTTAACGTATCATCTGACATTACTCTCGTTCGGAGTACAGCGTTTAAGAATGTTCTCTTGTGCGTTGAGTAATATCGCCGAACGAGCATTTTTCGACCTGTACAAACGATATACCATAGAAATTATTAACAAGATCGCTTATCGATTTCGCCATCGTCAAAAACTCGAATATTCCTCCGTTGTCGTTGTATACTATTTCTGTCTACGTGCACATTGACAGAGTCCGATTCAATGCATTCCCGAATATCTGCAGTTCCCATTTGTTTTCAAAAGACTTCAACTTGATTGAAAACTGTTCACCGAACTGTCACGTATATACCACCGTCAGCCACTATCCTTCTGACAGCACAAACACGGACTCGCCACGTGACGCCAAATGATAAACAAATCGCTAGAGAAGCGATTAGCAGAGCGGAATAACTAGTACGATCGCGCGATGACGATGACGACGCATCGCGACGCGAGCTTTTACGCCGTCGCGACACTTGAGCGGTGAGCCTAGTCGAAGCTGAGGAACCGAAGGCGCGGAGTACTGGAGCGCAGGCGCCTTCGACGAAGCTCGTGACCACGTTCTCCTCCTCCACCTGGCCCTCTTCCCTCTCCGTACTCTTCCTCGCGTGTCGATCGCCCTCTCGTTTCTTCCGCCTACGAGGGCTCCCTTCTCCAATGACAGGCAACGAGGGCTACTACGGCACCGGGGTAGCTTGCTCGCGCTCCGCCGGATTCGAGCGGATTGCCTTCCGCTCGGGCTTTCGAAGCGCGCCCAGACCTTCCCCCTCCCGCCGACTAGGTACTCGCCGAGGTGAGATCAAGATTTAATGTGACGTGACTTGCCCCATCGCTCCATATACGCGGTCGATTTCTCCCCTCATACCCCCTTCTCCGTTCATCTTTTTTCTTTCGACACAGATCACCAGATTCATCTCCTCGCGCACTCCCTAGGTACAAAAAAAAAAGTGTAAAAGAGAGATAAACTTCGTTGCACGAAAATGATTATTTTTTTTCTCTTCTTTTATTTCTGTCCCTATACGACAGTTCTACCGCTCCTCACCGATGCACCGATGTTTCTCTTGTCACGCGATCGACTTGCCGAAGCTATCTTGTTCGTGCTCGAGCGTGAGGAACGAAAAAGCGGGTTTTTCAATTGGTCTCTTTAGAAGGTTCCAGTTATCAGCTGCTACAACGTGGTATACGCGCGCGACACGGCTTCGCTTCCCTCTTTGAGGGACACAGCGTGGTGCTCTCTTGGAAGCACCCTTCTTTCGCACTACCTTTTTCGTACGCGACCAGACCAGACTCACCAGACGCGAGTGCGTTACGCGGGGCAACCTGTTCGCTCTCCGCCGTATTCGAGCAGATTGCCTACCGCCGCGCGCTCCACTCGAAGCGCGCCCAGACTAGCCTTACCCCCACCTTATACTCTTCCCGTAAAAGACTCCGTTCTTCTGCTTCTACCCGCTGAGAAGAAGAGATCAAGA